GTGGTCAAGATCCGGAGCCCCTACTGACAATTTGCTCTTCCGCCAGTACAGTATCGACTCAAGCGAGCCAATTTATGTGGCGGTCTTTTACGTGTGTGAAGCGAATGACGATGCATTTATCAAACATTTTCGAGGCCTACATTGCTTCGCCACCGTTGGGAGGAACGCCACTTCGGAGGCTGGCAAATGGCTGTATCGATGCATCTTGGAAAAGCACGAGTCATCGGTCACCGAAGATGATCTCATCATGAACAACCGGGGACCAACATACCACAAGACCTTTGAAGATCGATCTCGGGCCGTCCAATGCTGGGAAGACATTGTTGGAAACTCCAAACATCTTTTAGATCATCGCTGTCCAAGGCCTTGTTCGGGAAGTAGGGCGGTATCGGATCGTCCTAATGTGTTTAAGGACATTGAGCTTTTCCAAGCATACATGATCTAAAGGAAACAGTCTGTCTGCGACACAAGAATGGCTTTGGGAATTGCAAAAGTGTACGGAGATTGAAAAAACAGAATCAAGTCTCGCGAAAGGCTGTTCATTCGTGTCTGAACGACCTATGGCTAGAGAGCAAAATCATCCATTCTCGTCACATTATTTTCGTCAGAGCGTGTCGTTCCAAAATCAAGCCATTCTTTGGTATCGTTCACCCCTTTTGAGTCTCATTCGGTCACTCATTATATGACTGCGCTTGTGCGTGGTTGACGCCTATCCACAGACCCATAGCAGGTAGATCGAGACTTCATGGATTGGAAAACTTCAGCTAGGGTGAAAGTTGCACTCCATTCCTCTGTGTGAGCGAGGTTGGACTCGTCCATTCGGTCAAATTCAACCTGGAATATTGCTTGGCCTTTCTGCCAATGGTCTGTTAGGTCGTCGCACCAGCGTGTTCGCAAACAGTGCTTGGTGGTATTGCAAGGGAGCTATGACCGCGCTATAGCACTTGATATAGACGGACACAATTGCGTGCAAGGAAATAATCCGAGGTTGAAGAAATTGGAGAGGTCTTCTGTGTGTAAATAACGTGACTCTGATGACTCCGGTAGGCGCGATTAAGGAAAACTGTGCTGCATTTGAGTATGGAGAGACGAGTCTGTAGTCTCGGTCACCAGAAGGGAAATCAACGGTGATACACTCAGGATGTCGACCACGTTCCAGACCGAAAATTGTAAGGTATACGGTACCACCGCATTGATCGACTGTAAAGATAGGGACAAATTCGATATTGGACATGCTGCCCTCTGTGGAGGATTGGATTGATGATTTCACTGCAGACGTTTACAGAACAACTTGGGCAGCGATCTAAGAAACTATGGGGACTATGAGGCCATCCCTCAGTTTAAGTCAAGAACTCAAGAACCGGGCGATACTGATTGTACTCCTCTCTGAAGTACACGACTGTAGTAGCTGCGCTGTCAAGTTCTTTGAACTCAATGGTCGGTATTTGACCTATCATTCTTCTACATTATGCGCCCGCATCAAGCTCTGTACAGTCGAAATCGATCCTCCTTGAGAAGAATTACCGGCATGCGAGTCCGGTCATGGGACTGTGGGATTATCGGCAGCGATAACCGTTGGGTACGGGACCATACAGCCTGCAGATGTCGACTTATTGTCTTGACTTGGCTTCTTGGGTCGCCGCGCAAAGATATGTCTAGCCTTAATTGGCTGCCGCGCCGACATTGAACCTTTCGCGGTCGCCGACCCTGAAAGGTCATTTGCACTAGCTTCGTTGCGCTTGAACGCGGTTGGTTGAAATCTTGGCCGTCGGGAATGGCACTCTTTCCAAAGAGTAAAAAGGAGGGCATGGTGTTCCTTAGGATCATAATGGTTGTCCTGGAAAGTTGATTTACACCTCGAATGTAGCTTGCATGCCTGGCGAGGGTATTTAATGTTGGAGGAGAGGACGGCCAGGGGCGTGCGGGTTCGCTGGTGTATCGGAGCACGAGGTTTCTCGTGAATATGCATGATCTCGTGTGGATCCACATTTTCCGAATCGCGGCCGACTCTTGTCAGAGCGCGGCTTTTTGGCTTTCGACCTGCGGTATCCTCCCAGGGATGCTCGGCAATGGTTCTTCTTAAGGGTTGATATGCTCTTTCCTTCATGGCATGTAGTGAAGGCGTGAATTTGAGGTTCGTAGAGTCTGGGCAGGAGCAAAGGCTGTCAAAGGTCCCCAGCGAGGTTCCTTATAACACCACCGACAGCCTGTTGAGGGCGCGGCTCAACAAGCGTCAGGGGTAAAGGTATCATCTTTGGTTTTCTTAAAATACCGGGCGCGTATGCCATGGTCGAGGAGTTGACTCTTTCGGAGGGTTCGAAACAAGGCGCTTCGGGATAGGCTAAGACCGCTTCAGGGCTTTGGAGGCTTTGATTGTTCGCGCTGCTGTATGACTTGGCAAGTTTGTCCTGTATGGAGCAAGGTCGGATCTGGCTGGGCATATTCAGCAGTTTCTAGACTAAAACCTTCCCCTGGCTTTGGCTTGAATACGCAAGAAATGGCCGTCCCGTCGAGTCGCGCTCTTGCACACCTGTCGAAAGGAGTTAGTGCGGACATATAGAGGGCAGAACAGATCACCATTGAAGCGAGAAGGTCTGAAGTTACTCCGTAGATCGTTTCGGGTAGCCGCTTCACGGTCGTAATTTGCGTCCCCAGGATCTACATCCATGACATGCCGTAGAGTTCAGCATAGAAAATGGATCTACAGTACCTGGCACAAGGCCACACGAAAAAGACGGAGTCAGCGTTTGTGCTAAAACTTTGCTCAAATAACTGAAACTTCGGTCTGTCGAACATTGCAACACAGTACCTGCAGAGGGCTTTTCTGTGCAGTATCATTCAAAGACGTAATCCAAAGACTTTTGAATTGTGGACTACCTTGCTGCATTAGTCTTATGGCTGACACCTCATAGACTTTCGCGGAAGGGCTTCCCTAGACAATAGAGTTTGACTGTGCGGGTTGGTTCTAAATCAAGATTGGTAACAGGTTGAAAGGCCACATGTAGGACAAAAGCACTTCGGCGATGTTGCTCCTCGACTCACCCCCGACCTGATCAAGAGACTACTCCTATGCTGCATCTCCCGATCCTCGATGTGGACGATGGTGCTCCGTACTACATGTTGGATTTATTGACAGGGTATCGCGGGCCGAGATGAATGAAGAATTATTGGCGAGGACATCTCTTCGAACTACTTTGAGCAGATGATGGCCCGTGCTGTTTCTACGCGCGCACGTCCAGCTCTGAGTAGAGGTCCTTGCAAGTGCACTGCAACCAGTCCCCGACATCTGCACAACCCCGCTGCTACAGTATGCTTCACGTCATGAGACATATGCAACTCAACCGATAGCTCGACCTTCCCTCACTGGACGATGTCACCCTCCTAAACCTGGACTTGCATATACGAGGAAAATGGGACGACAAGTAATAAGATTTCGATAGAGGCCAATAGGGGACAAGCGGAACAATCTGTACAACATCATGTTGCCGTGCGAAGCTCTTTTCAGTTCCACATTTGACCATCATCATGGTCCTTTTGTTCTACCTGTGGGGAAGAGGCTTATCGTCAGTAATGTGGGTGGCTCAGACAATTCTGAGGGCGACGCGAATTCCTGTCCTCCTCCCCAATCTTTCCGTTCTTCTTCACATTTCTCCTCCAGGTGGCTCTTTACACTACTGTAGAGTTCGCCTTGCATTCCCTTGCATTTTATCGTCGGAATCCGAGAACGAATTGCTCAGTGGCAGTCGGAAGGAAAAGATGGTACCGAATGTGGTGGCTTGGAGCACCGTAGTTGCTAACCATATATCGAGTAATGAGACAGGATGGCAGCGGAGGGGGTTAGAGTAATGGATGATGGCCTAATCCGAGCGGAAAATCTGCCGGGGCCTCTTTTGTTTTGGTTGTGCAACATTCAGGGACTCTACCGACCGTCATCAGAAGAGCCCCGATTCAGTGACAAGTGTGCCGTTGATACTGTACTAAATATTTTGTTTTACTCGAAACAATTTCTCGAATTCTCCCTCTTAATCTATACACCGTACCATAACATCCATGATCGCTACAAAACGCCTGTAAAGCTGAATCCATTTTAACCCGAGAATAGTCTCTCAAACTCCTCCATGAATCCGTCATCAACACCTTCACCTGCGAGTATTCGCTCTATGCCTTGCTCACATCGTGGTAGAAAATCCCAAAGCCGGCGATTGCTGTTCTTAAACAGGTCAACCACCATTTGAATATTGCTTTTGTTGAGGTTTTCATAACTGGGAACGAGTCAGGGCCTGCTTGCCGAGGAAAAGCACTATGGCACACTCACCATGAAGGCCTGACTCTATAGTCAGGGTCGAGAGCACATGAAATCCTTCTTACAGGCCGTAACATCCATAGCGGGTGGCTAGGGCCGCAGATGTTTTCAAATTCGTGTAGATATGTGCCCCAGTAATTGGCCTTCTTAAGCTGCCCGAGGGCGGTAGGGTCTTTGTCTTGCTGGGTGTATCTCAAGATGAACCAGTAGGCTCGCGTGTCTGACTTCAGGCCGCGCTTGATGCAGTCCGCTTGCCCATCGTCCACTCGCATTCTTATTCCCTCTGATGTGCCTTCCATTGATTCGCGTTGGAAAATTTTGATCAGGGCACGATATGTCGAAGCTATACACATAGCCCCAAAGTCCTTTTTGAGGCTACTCAGCTTCTCATAGCCGCGTCTTCGGGTATACAGTTGAACTGCTGCCTGAAGACTTCCTTTGTCACATCCCAGAAAACTGGTACAGACATTTTCTGAACTCTGGCCAGGCGACCTGAGAGTATTGTAGAGTTTCAGAGCGCTCTCTATGCTAGAATTGGATGGGGTACGGTTGGAAAGAACATCCTGCCTGAGGTTTCGACTGCTATTGTATAGCTGCATGATTCCCTGAGTGTCACCACGGTCTCGGAGTGATCGGCCTTTCAGAATATCCACCAGGTCTCGAAAATCCTCTAAGACTTCTTTGCATCCCATGGAGGAAGCGAGGAACTTCAACCTGATTTGCGGTGGCAGGTCGTCGAACTTCGGTTTCAATCTTGTGCAGGGACTGGGGTCAGGACTTGTTGTCCTTGCGGATGAAGGGGTGCTCGTGCCTAGGGACATCTGGGAGACATCCGTGTGGTGAACAGCCACAATCAGTTGTAAGAAATTTCTCCGGAGAGCGACGAAGTTTAGAGGGCTTGGGTCCGTGTGTCCCAAGATTTTGTCCGCTTCGTGGAGCAGAATGACACCACAATTATTGCCGTCATTGATTGAACCCTAATCGGTTAGTCGAAGCTAGTCGGAAAAGAAACTGGAGGAGACACTTACTAAACTGTAACTCACCGTCCACCCGTTGAGCTCTGGTGCGCTGGAAAGGATGAAATGAGCGACGGATATGGCCCTCTCGTTCTCATGGTCATGCACCGTAAGTTGACGGTGGGTGAATTGCAAGCTGATCAGAAACCAATGGCTTGTCTCCTCGATATGAACGGGAACCAGAACCATCGAGGGTGTCTGCCACCTGCAGATTCTGGACGGGTTCTTCTGGATGTAGGCCGCATTGAAATCATGGGACTCCACGACGTGCACATCACGTCGGCCCATGGTCATGCGGTAGAGGCATTCCATCACTGCATCGTCATTTAGCCACTGGCCCGGTCGAAATGTATTCAACATGCGC